AGCTCTAGAATCTTGTAGCAAATTTCAAGGAAATTTTTAGAAAATTCCCTTTATTCTTCCTGTCAAGTGCCACCTTTGTTATTCTCTTAATTATCCATACACTTATGATAAACATATAGTCTATTTTTTGTTTTTTTTCCGTTGGTTATGATTGGTCATTAGAAAATGATTGATGATTTTCTTCTTTTCTAATGACAATTGTTCAGTAGAAAAGAAATTTTGTGAAATTTTAAAATTCTAAATTTAATAATTTTGTTAGGTATGTGCTGGGTCTAGTATAAAAGGAGTCGTTAGCGATCAGTCTGGGTCGACACCTGGGTCGACCGGCGCCGTCTGTCCTTCATCATTCTTGCCTTTTGCCACCTTCACTATTGTTGTATTTACTATTCGGATAAACGTTATATTCCATTCTTGTGTTATTCTGTTTGTCACTAGGTAAGACCGCTAACCTAGGACATAACAGTGGCGCGGTCGACAGGGTCGACAGACCTGTCCCCCCCCCCCCCCCCCCGGTCGACAGGGCTCTGCCCGCACAGGTTCGAATCCTGTCGACCGCGCCACTGTTATGTCTTAGGTTAGCGGTCTTACCTAGTGACAAACAGACTAACACAGGAATAGAATATAACGTTTATCCGAATAGTAAATACTACAATAATGAAGGTGGCAAAAGGCAAGAATGATGAAGGACAGACGGCGCCGGTCGACCCAGGTGTCGATCCAGACTGATCGCTAACGACTCCTTTTATACTAGACCCAGCACATACCTAACATATTTAAGATATTCGCAATTATGCGTTATTTTACATATTTTATTTTAATTTATTATTTTGCCGAGATAATTGAAACAACGAGAGAATTCATCAAAACCGAGGAATATAAACAATTTTCTGAGAAGGCGAAAGGGGAAATATTAGAAATGTATAAAAAATACTTTGAAAATGATCATGAGGGAATGGATGATGAAGTTTTGCGAGAACTATCACTCATATCATTTAATACGTATTTTGAATTTCTTTTTGAAAATGTTGCTGGACAATTCGCGGAAATTGACGATAATGAAGAAGCAATTTTTATTAAATTAATGATTAAAAATAGTGAGGATAAAGAAAATGAGTCGAAGGAAATAGAAAATGAAAATTTTGGATGGAATGATGAATTTGGCAGTAGTTTTAAAAAATTGCATGAAAATTCCTTGAAATTATTGGAAGAGCTTTTTAAAAATGAAAATTGGTCATTGGAAATGAAATTTTGTAAAATTTATAGTTTAGTAGAATTTTTGGCAAAAAATGAAGAACTTTCAAAAAATACTCATTGGAATGATTATACAATTAAGTTTAAATATGTAAGTATAATATAAAATTATAAGCTTGAAAATTGTTTTTTTTATTAATTTTAAAATTTCAGAAGAGTATTTTTGAAAATCAAATTTTGTGTGAAAATGATGAACAAATTAGTGAGATAATCGAGAAATGTTTTGAAAATGAAACATTCAAAAATACGATAAAATCAGTGCATTTAAATTATTTAAGCATTTCTAGTGAAAATTTTATCAAATATATTTTTGGAACTAAAAATGCAAAAAATAAAGCAATTAATTTAATTGGGAAGGATGTGTACGAAGAAAACAAAAAAATGTTCTTAGATACAATGCGCCACCAATTGCAAGGATGTAAGAAAAATATTATTTAATTTAAATTTTAACAGTTAAAATGCCTTAATTTGTTGGTCCACATTGCAGAAAGAATATAAAATGATTAAAAATAACTAGTTTATCTTCGGAACAGACCCGAAGAATCGAAAATTTTTTGGTTCGGTTACAGAAATCTGGAATTACTATACGGCAATCTTGGGTAATAAATGAGTTCTAATTGTTACCAAATGTCAAATGATTCTCATGTGATCTTGGAGGGTTAAAAGTCAACATGATGTTACTAAAATTTTTGGCTCTATCTTAGGACATGCGTACCATGAACTTTTATGCGTCCCTTGAAAGTATATGCGTCCCATCAACAAAAAATTGAATTTTTCTTGGTGTTGCCAAGTTGAGGTATGGTTCCGAAACATTTTTTCATGTTCGGGACCTACGCCCACTGGGTCTGGGACCGTTCCTTGCCCTATCCCTCGAAATTTGAAGGTTAAAATCGTTTTTCTGAAATTTTTAAAAATTGGCTATAACTTTCAGAAATTCTGAGGGATAGGGTAAGGAACGGTCCCAGATCCAGTGAACGTCGATCCAGAACATGAAGAAATGTTTTGTACCCATGCCCCTACTTTCCAACACCAAGAAAAATCCAATTTTTTGTTGATAGGACGCATATACTTTCATGGGACACATAAAAGTTCATGAGATGCATGTCCTAAGATAGAGCCTAATTTTTTTGTGAAAATTTTTCTGCGATCTCAAATGATTGCTTTCAAATAAAAACTCATAATTTAAGCCATATTGAATACAACAATTCGATGGCAGTATTATGAAAATATATTTAAATTTAATGAACTAGAAGAAAACATGCACGAGGCTCATAATTACAAACACGTAACTAAGGAAGAAATGCTTATGAATATTGGAATTTTTTCAAGAAAGATTGATAATGTTGAGAAAAATTTAAATTCTAAGGAATTGGATGATATGTTCCTTAGAATAAAATCAGTTTTATATGAAAAATTTGAAGTAGATCTATTGGAGATTGTTCATCGTATATATAATATTGCAAAGCTATTGCATGATAATAAAGCTTTATATAAAAATTATGTTAACGAAGGGAAAACTGAAAAGATAATTGGGGAAGTTGATGCAGAAATTGAAAATTATACAGTAAATAATAGTATAGAACCACACTTGGAAATGAGGGCATTTCTTGTTGAAGAACATATGGAATTCTTGAAACCAAAACTAGAAGATAAAAATGTAATAAATAAATTTAAAAAGAAGGATGGCTCGATGTATTGTTTATATATGCTATTGCATGATTATCATGGAATACTCAAAATTTTGAATATAACTGGATTACTCGAACTTGACGGTAATGATAAATTAAATATCCTGTCCTTATTAGAATTAAATAAAATAATAAGAATGGGTACTTTATGGATATTCACCCACCTATTTAAATCTCAGAGTTTTCCTTAATATGTAATAAAATCGAATGAAATTGAAGCAAAAAAAGGTCTTCTTCTGAGATTTCTTCCAATTTCTTTTCTGAGATAAGTTCGGAAAAATATTAAATATTATTTTATCAATTTAGATCTTCCGAAAGATGAAAAGATAACAAAATATTATGTATTATATTTCAAATCATCGAAAGATACAATTAATCATAAAGCAAATAAGGTTATAGTTGATTATCTTGCGTGGTTCAGATGGGCATATAGTTTAACTAAGGATAAAAAGCAATGGAAAATAAAAACTAATAGCGAGATAATGTTTGAAGTTTTCATGACACGTAAATTATTTTTAAGAATTCTTTATGAAAAGCTTTTATGGAGCGATGAAGACGATATTGAAGGTTTGATTAAAAGCTTAGTTTACAAGTCCTACAGATTGAAATTATTAATTGAAGAGAAGAAAAATTACAAACCTAAAGTTGGTGAAAACTATGAATATTAATAGAAACCCCTGACTAGAAAATTATTCCTTAATTTACTTAAAAATAATTTATTAATGGATTTTAGGGATTTTAGATTTAAGGCGGGAATTGTGTAGTTAATCCCAATTTTTTTGAACAGTTTTCAAGTCCAGGGGTTCGAGCGTGAAACTGAAGTTTAGATTTCCTTATTGGACCATACCATTTTCTTATTCGACCTTTAGTTATGATCAACTAATATATAAAAATAAGACCTAATATATAATTAATATTATTAAGAAAAATAGAGATCGCTCGGAGATTTCTCGTGAATGGAATAAAGAATGGAATGACATAACTAATGAAGAAATTAAATCTAGCATAGAAGAAGAGCAAAAAAGTTTTGATGCTTGGATAAAAGGAGAACATTATCAGACTATAGATAAACTGATAAATGATAAAAATAACAAATTATTAGAATTTTTGATAGGAGGTATTTTAAATAACCTTAGAATTTTTGTGAAAGATTTAGAGGCTGGATAAAGTCCTGCATCCCATAAATCAAAAGAATGGGTTTCGGGATTAGGGGAGGGTTTTTGTTTCTATATGCCAGTCGAGGCCAATTATTTTAATGAAATTGAAGGATTAATTGTGATATATGTAGTCGATTTTGAGGGAATAAAACCAGTGAGAAATAGAGAACTAACCGAGAGAAATTAACAGACAACACAGGGTTCTCAAGTGCATTAACTTGACTCAAAAATTATTTTTTATAAAGAAATCACCAATAAGAAGGAAAAAGCAGTAAATCACAAATTAGATAATTTTTTGACTGAAGAACATTCAAGTGAATTAATGAAGAGATTAACTCAAATGGCAGCTAAACAGCAAACAAATACAACTAAAAATGTAAAAAACAAAAAACCAAAAAAAGAATATCCAATTAAAAAGCAAATTAAACAAATAACGATTTCTGACAATCAGCCTCAAACTATTTCGGTAACAGAGGTAACATTAATATAAAATTTCCCCGAAAATTATATTTTTTGCGATTGGAAAAATTAATCTCTGCTATATAATCTAGGCCCGAGAAAAGTGATCCAAACACATAATATTAAAATAATATATTTTTGAGGAGGGTTTTCGGTTCTTCGGTTCTTGGAAAATCCTCGGATATCAGGAACTGAAGCGAAAATTTTTGGTAATAAGAAAGGATACGAAATTTTGTTATGAAGAAATTTCTATTTTCAGAAAATCCTTCATTTTCTGACGAATTTGAGATATCCGGAAACGAATCAAAAAATCCTGGGTTGTGTTTCGGTTCGGTTCCGAACCGACAACCCTATTTGTGAAAAATTTATTTCATTTGCATCATTAAAATAATAAAGTAATTTTAAGGTTCAAAATCAAACCGCTTCTCATGTTAATAAAGAAAAAATGACAGAAACAAAAAATAAAACTATAATGGAGAATGTTGAGGAAATGATCAAAGTGGAGTACTTTACAGAAGATAAAAATTTGTTTGATATTTTTAATCAAATTACTAAAGGAAAGCAGGCAATCTCACAAAGTTTTGTTGATGTTGGAATTTATGCAAATGAGATTGGGAAGCGTTTTGAATTTTTGGAGAAATTAAAGAAAAATTATATTAAAGTTTTTGATATTTATTTTGTGAATTTTAAAAAGTTTGAAAGAATGGAAAATCATTGGGGAAAAATTAAAGAAAAATTAATTTCAAAAAATAAAACTGAATTAAATTTAAAAATTGAAAATGAATTGCATTATTTTTTAATTGAAATATTAAAAGTAATGGAAGAAAAATTAATGAATAAAAAAAGTTTTGGGAAAATCAAAGAAAATTTATATTTGGAAAAGATTTCTAAATATTTTGTTGAATATAGTGGAATTAATTGGAGTGTATTAAACACCAATCAGAAACAATTTGTTCAAAAAATTCTTAACTTGGAAGATAAGGAAATTTTGAAAAAATGGACAATAAAAATAGAAAAGAAGATTGAAGAGTTGAAGCAAATAAAAGAACAAGTTGAGATAGGTATGTGATTTAAAAAAGTTTCGAAGCTGAAACTTAGGTTAGGATAATCTCCTGTCAACCACTGGATGATCTCCTTAACCATATTTCAATTAATAACGTTTAGTTTCAATAATTTTGAATAAATCTAATGTAATCGAAAGTCTGTAATATTGTTATATATAAAGGTTTTGATGAATCCAAAAGTCCGAATTCATAAATACTTATTTGCGATAAAAATTTTATTTTAAGATAACTCTGAAAATGTGCAAATTTATCTTCATCCGGATGGTTTTAGGCCTTTATCCCTAAACAAAGGCTCGCAAGATTTAGCTCTATATGTTCCTCACAATGATATTTCTCCTATGAAGTCATTCAATAAACTTTTCGAACAATGGAAAGATATTTTGAAAAGAACTAAGAAGTTTTCAAATTTTCAATTATTTATGTCATCACCATACAACAAACGAGGAGGACATATACATGCAATTGTTTTAGCTATTGGGGCAGGGAAAGTTGACGATGAACTGATAAAAGAATTATTTATTGATAAAGCGGGCAGATCGTTAACTTCATTTTTTAGTCAATGTTCAGAAAATTCACTTTTTTGCCATCTTTTTAATGTAAGAAAGTCTCAGAATATTTCTCTTTTTTCTTGTTCCCTCTAGTTTGGTTATCTGAATGTAGTTGCCTATTCTACGAAAATTCGGAAATCCATACCAACTGAAAAATCTTTGTGTTTTCGTTAGGTTCCTAAGCGCAACCTTATATCTGAGAATGAGCTCCGCTTCAGGATTAAATAAATTGAGGATATGGATAATTCGTTAATGATTGCCATAAAAGCCTAAAGTTTAAATATTATCCAATACATTTAAATAATATCGGCAATTATTTTTTATAATTTTACTTTTTCTGTAATAAATCATACAATAATTATACAATTAAAATTTAGAAGGCAAGAAAGCAATCACTCAATGCAATGCACAAACTTTTACGCATTTCTGACGATGATAATATTTATTATGAGGATTATGGAACGGAGTTTGTAATCACTTTTGTTTATAATAAAGATGAACGTAAACTTCAAAATGATACAAAATGGATTGAAAATTTTATGAGGAAAATTTCGAAAAATTTAAATACCAAAGGAGAAAATGCTTCGATTCTCTATAATCTTTCATTGTTCAAAACTTACGAAGATTTGGAGGAGTTGCTAAAGAATAAAAATGAAAAGGAACGTTATATTCTTAATCAAACTTTTATAGTTTTGAAAAATTGGGCAAAAGGTACGAGATTTTTTATATAATATTCAAATATGTTGGGACTGGGAGAGATTGGAAAGAGTTCCATTTGAAATAGTAAGAGATATAAAGGTTTATCACTTTTGCTAAGCACTTTCGCTTGCCACATAAGTCTGGAATGTAACCACATTCAAGACTTTCGAGCAACAGTATCTAGAAAGCGTCTTTTTGCTGCCCGCTGGATCTCTCTCCTTTCCTAGAATATTTTGACGTTGAAACCAAATATTCGAATCCTAGCCTTTCACTCAGAACACGACGGATAAATTTAAAGCAAACAAAACTCAATATTATAAAGAATCAACAAACCCCAAAAAGTTAAATTTTATAAATATCAATTTAAGCTCATTGTGTTTACAACAGTCAATTTGGATTTCTCGATGGAACTTCCATATCTTTAATGCTCACAAAAGTTTTTCTTTTGTTTCCAGAAGCAAATATTATTCAATTAATTGAACGTTTTTTCATAATATTTTCAACCTGGTAAATTTAACACAAAAATAGTTAATGAAATTATTAATTTTTGAAGGGATTGGAATGTTCCTCTCCGAATAAAAAGCAAACAAAATAAAGAAGAAAATAAGGAAAAATATTTTACGATTTTAACAACAACACATCCTGAGCATTCAATAACGAGCAAAATAACACAAAAAAATCAACACATCATTTTGAATGCATTATTATTGGGCAATTATTATAAATAAATAATTTATTAATAATCTACTAGTATAGGCTTTAAGGATAGGATTTATTTGTAGCAATAATTGTAGACTGACAGCTGACTAAATAACAATTTTGTATAGGGTTGTTGGTTATTGGAAAATCTTCGAGTATCCAAAACCAAAATAAGTTCCGATCTGACTACCTACTTAGCGTATTTAGTCGATTAATTCCTCTGGGGAATTATTATTTCAACCCATCCGTGGCATGGGGAATTATTCGAAGGAGGGGAATTATTCGAGTTTTGAAATTTGAACATGTAGTAGGGTATTTGGGGGAGGGGGATTATTGTTTCAACTCATCCGTAGCAGGGAGAATTATTCGAGAGAGGGGAATTAATCGAGTAAATACGGTATGTATATTTTAGCTTACTAAGTTTTAAAAATAAGTAGATAAATTAAATTAATTATTATATGTAGGTCTTGAAAAAGTTGTCACATTTTTTCAACACATCCGTGGCATGGGGAATTATGGGAAAAGACCAATTAGAGATGAATTCGTTTATATGAAAAATAATGTTGAAGGATCAGAATTCATTAAAATTGTGAATTATAATTTAATTCACAATAAATAATTTTTTTAGTACAAACATTTTATTGTTTTTTCGTGTATTACTGAAGAGGAGGCTGGACAAGAGAATTATTGCGGATTTTTGGAGAATTTGGATAAAATAAATGAACAAATTGAGAAAATTAATCAAATAGAAATTTACCATATTGGATTAAGAACAGAGGATTGTCCTACAGAAATACAAAAAATTAAAAATGAGGATGGACAGCAATTTGATTTCGAAGAAAAGGAAGAAGCAGTAAAGTGAGAAACTTATAAGCAGTGATACGGGGGTTCCAGTTCTGGAACCGGTGGAGTTCCGGAACTGGAACAGTGGAACCGATAAATGTCTGGAACAGGTTTGGAACTTGTTGTGTATGGGCGTCAGCCCTTAAAGTGTTTACTATAAAAGCCAGAGAAAACGTCAGTCTATTCGGATCATACTAGCGGGGCTAGTCACTGATCTCCTTCGTCTGTCCCATTCCCTTCGCCTACACATTGTACATTTCTAAGTGTGATAAAGTGTTATTATTGTGCTCGTCGCATTAGTTAAGTCTCGGACACCTCGGGTCGTAACAATGGCGCGGTCGACAAAAAGTGAAGTGTGGCGAAGTGTAGTGAATTGCTTTAGCAATTAGTGAAAGTGATTGTTTTGAGTTTGAGTGGACAGACGTCGTAATTAGTGATCGGCATGAGTCGAAGTGAAATGAGTGAATTGTTAGTGATGGCGCATGGACCTTTTGAGTTAGTAGTGACCTGAAAAAGGACTCAGTGCGAGTGCCAGTGGTCTATAGTTTAAGGCTGAAATGCCTAGTGTAAGGCTGAAATGCCTAGTGGTCCTGAAAGTGCGCAGATTTTGCCGATCAAGTGTTAAGTGTCTGGCATTCATGAGAATGTAAGTCCAGAAATTGAAAAGTTGAAAGTGAAGTTTAAAAGTGAAAATTTGGCAGCCTACGGGTGAGTAAGACCAAATAATAAAGTTTGGATTGTTAGTGGATAAAGTGAAGTTTGGCAGCCTAAAGGGTGGGTAAGACCAAATAATGAAGTGAGTCAAGGCGCTGAGGAGTGAGTATTATTAGGAATTGAAGTATTATTCCAGCGCAAGTGAGTGAAGCAACCCAGACTACACATAGTGTAAGTTCAGTGAAGTGTTGCGGTACCTGAGTCTTTGACAGAGGCAGGATGTAACAGGCATCCTTTGAGTGGTTAGTTAGTAGTAGTAGTAGTCAAGTGATAGTATTAAACCACGAGCCATCCTAAAAGTACACGGGAAAACGGCACCGAACTGCACACTAACTATATGTTAGTGTTGTGATGTTTGACTTCATTTAAGTCGTGAAATAGTGATAGTGATGCAATTTAGTGAAGTTTAGTTATTGGGCACAGTGTTAAAAAAGTGAATGTAGTGCCGCAATAGAAAGTGTAAAAAATGGAAGTGAAATAAAAAGTGTAAAAAATAAATCAGTGAAGAAAAGTGAAAAATAAAAGTGAAATGCTTATGGACAAGCAGTGTGATGATCAACAGTGTGATTGCCTTGATTGGAGCTGCTGTATGCACTGTAGATGTCCGCTGCCAGAAGAAAAATAAAATGTGGAATAAGATGACAAATTTTGTGATTATTTTGTAATTGTTGTAATTTTAATTTGTTGTTTTTCTTTTTGCCCTTTTGTCATCCCACATTTTTTGTGTTTTGTTGTGAGTGAGTGTTAGAGTGAGACTAGACGAACTGGCTTAGTGTAATTGTATTGATAGCATGGAAGCTATAGTGAATGTTAAAAGTTGTAAAGCTTCGGCTTTAAGTGAAAGCCGAACCTTTTTTTCAAGGGGGGAGGTGTTGTGTATGGGCGTCAGCCCTTAAAGTGTTTACTATAAAAGCCAGAGAAAACGTCAGTCTATTCGGATCATACTAGCGGGGCTAGTCACTGATCTCCTTCGTCTGTTTCAACCCTTACCTTCGCCTACACATTGTTTATTTCTTCGTGTGATAAAGTGTTATTGTTGTGTTAGTTGACATTAGTTAAACCTCGGACACCTCGGGTCGTAACAGAACTGGAACCGTGGAACTGCCAAAATAAAAAAGCGGTTCCAGAACTGGAACTGGAATCGCCAAAATTTTTGGAACTTCCGCATCACTGCTTATAAGTGTTAAGTTTTCGTTGCTGTTGTTTGTGTGAAGTATTTTTTGTGACAAAATCTTTCTTTTAGCATTCACACCAACAAATATTAACAATTTTTAAAATTTCAGTGTAAATTTTTGCACTTCGTGGCTAGTTGGAATTAAAGGGAAAGATGAATTGGTGGACAAGGATTTGTTGAAATTTGAAATAGAGGAGGGTGTTAAAACAACAGGGGTTACTGAAGATTTGAAAATATTTGTTATATTACAAAAGGAAATTGAAAATTGGTTTATTTTAAATGAAATAATGAATAATCTAATTAATATAATTTAGGGGATTTGAAATTAATCAAGATGTTGAATTGATGTGAGTAACCTGAAGAAATTCTGATTTGAAAATTCGATTATACTCGAATTATCCCTAATTTTTCCCATTTATTTACCATTTTTATCCTTTTAGACTAATTTTTGTTTCATTTTTAATCATTACAAATTTTTCGAAAAATTTCTGGTTCATCACTTTCCTTGGCTACAAAAGAACCATATGAACCATAGTTCAAAAACCTTTCCTAAACAACACACCACCAATCTTGTAAAATATCCCCATCACAGTAACTCTTTATAATCACTATAATTCATATCAGTTTGTAACATTCTTATAAAGGAACCATATTTAGACATTTATCGAGTTTTTCTCTTTGAATTGGTCTGAATTTTAAGTATATTCTAAAAATATGGACTGTATTAAATTCTCTATTTAAACTTTTCTGAAGCCCTTTAAATTTGCTACAGAAAACAAAAAAAATTAAATCTAATTAAACGCAAAAATTGTACAAGGGATTTGTTTTGGATTTATTGGGCCTAAAGTGATTGAAAATATATTTAAGGATATTTACTCCCAGTTTACGTTGATTTTCTGAATGTGTGTTCCTTTATAATAATGATACACAAAGCATTATATTTATTCAATGTAATTTATTTTATTTTTTATTTATTTCTAAATTTATTTTCATTTAATTTATTTTAAATTTCAAATTTTTAAATTTATTTCATATTTAGTTGTTAGCATTTTTTAACACTAAAACAATTTTAAATAGTTTAGTATGCATAAATTATTTTGTTTAAAGTTATTTTGTTTAAAGATTATTTTGTTTAAAGATTATTTTGTTTAAAGATTATTTTGTTTAAAGTTTAATTTGGTTGGGTTGTTCTGGATATTTATATGTAGGTAAAAAATCTTGATAGCAGAAAATTTTCTGTATCATATATGTTGATTTTCCATGAAGCGCCAAACTTGAGACATGAAGATTCACAGAAGTGAAACCTCTGGATCTATTGAATTAGAACAAATGCTTCCAGAAAGTCCGTTATCATGTTTTAAGCATAAGTATATAGTTAGAGTAATACATATAAATTAAAATTTATTTTATACTAATTTTTTGTATTAAATGCTTATGCAATCAATTAAGTATAGAAGAATTAAAATTTAAAATTAAGCTTCATAAAAATACACGAGTTTATTATGTAGAAATTAAAAAAATTTAAATTAAAAAAAATATAACTACATATTTATAAATATTCCTTTGTTTAACTATTTTTTAAAATTTTTGTTCCCCATGCAGTTTGAATGCTTTGAAAATGTCTGTCTGCTTCTAAAGTCCCGGATTCTTTTATTAAAAGCTGTCCACCACGAATATCTTTTAATTGATCTTTGCCTTCAGATTTTTGTTCTTCCGGTGTAATTTTATTATTTTTTGAATTTTTACATATTAAAATGTTTTTAATAAATTTTTTAAAATCTCTTTTCAAAAATGGATGATATCTAAAAAAATAAAAAGGATATTTAAATAAAAATTTTAATAAACTTACAAAATCATCGATAATTCAATTAAAAAGGTTAAGTAGGTAATTGGAACAAAACTAAGAAAATTAACACAAAATAAAATTCCAAATGGGGATGTAACTAAATTAAAATAAGGCAGAACAACAGAAATGCCACCAATTATATTTACACAAACATGTAAGCAAAGGGTTGGTATAAGTTGTTTTGTTGTTCGAATATTCTCTGACAACTAATAAATTATTATGTAAATTTGTTAGAAATATTTATTTAAATTTAAAAAGAAAATTTTGAAAATTTTTGAATATTTTAAAGAAGTCTGGTTAAGGGAGAATTCGGGGATTTCGATGGATTTATAAGAGGATTTGGAGGGATTAAATGTGATAATGAATGATTAAGAGGGATATCAGAAGATTTGGAGGGATATCGGGGATATGAGTAGATCGTATCCTCCTTAATCATTCTTTATTTTTTTAAAAAATTAAAAAATACATGATATCCCCCTTAATCACTCCTAGTCCCTCTTTACCTCATTTGAATCCCTGATTAAACTTATAAAGAGCAAAAGGTAAAAAATTTGTGTTGATCAAAATTTGTAAATCTTTAGGGTCAATAGGTTTTCAGGGTGTAGGTCTTCAGGGATGGAATCGTGGATCCTTCCCCGAAAAATTCTAGATTATAAACATATACCTGATAACGTCCAGTTAACTTTTGTTCATCTAACGCCGAACTTTTTCTTTCAAAATAAACTTTGTTGTTGTATTTCAACAATTTAAAAAATATCTAGACATGTGTATTTATAATTAAATTAAAAATTTATAAAAATATTTACATAAATTTCGATAATTCCTATAATTGATAAAATAAACTGCCATACTACAGTTACAAGTAAATTATTCGAGCTTGAGGAATTTGTGAAGAAATAAGCGTTTATAACAGTTACAATAACCTTTAAACAAAAAAATTTTTTAAATTATTTAATTTGCTGTAACTTACATCAATTGTAACCCAAGTAAATGTGAACCAACGTGAACGATTATTTTCATAATTAGTTACCCAAATTGTAGCTAATAATCTTTCCATAATTAGAGCGTTACAGATAAAATTGCGAAAAAACATGGCTATACTTGTTAGAAAAACAAGAATTTTTGGAGAATAAACCATTTGATTTAAAACAAGACGAAGTAGAAGAATGGATGTTCTAACTAAAGATGTGCTAAATTTCTTCTGGGATTATATTTTTATATTTAAAAGGGTAGATTTTAGAACCAAAATAGGAACCTCACCAGTAAGATATACTCCCCTTCTCCCCCATTCCGTGAATCTGACATTAAAGAGTTGTTAACATGTGAGTTAATACAGGTGAGGTTTATGAGATAATAAAACTAAGAATCTCTTTTTTTTTAATTTGTTATTCAGATGGTGGTTTCTATCTTTTTTAAGAATTATTTAAACATACAAATTGTTCGAAGAAATATAACAAAACTCTGTGATAGAAGAATAAATTTTAAATTTGGATGTAGAACAGATGTTTTTAAAATTAGATAAAAATTTATAGCTGAGAAAGGAATAACCAAAAATATATTTCCAAATAAATCCAAAACATTAAAAATTAATAAAAAGAAATATTCAAAAGTGTCGGAAGTATAATTTGTTGTTATTAATGCATTATTTTGTTGTGTTAGATTATTAGTATTGTTGATATCATTATTAATATTAGTATTAATATTTGACATTAAAATCTAAAAAATTTATTCAAAAATTTTTGTATTTAAAAGAATCAGCAGTGCAAGAAATAGAATTTCGGCTTCCTGGTAGCCGAAGATAAACTGTTGGAACGATTTGGTTCTCAATTAGGAAACGAAAAACTGAGGATTTTTTGGCTTCGTTCCGTGCCGATTTCTGAAGATTTCCAATATCACAAAACAATATTCTCACTTATAGAAATAAAATAAATTAAGATAAATCTTAGACCCCAAACCTAAACTCTTTAAAGTGATAGCCTGAAAGTCCTCTAACAATTGAGATCAATTTTGTACCAATTTTCTGGCATTTTCTTGGAAAGGGACTGACGAATTATGTATGTATATTCTATATTTATGTGCACATATTTTTTCTACGATATAAGAATTTTGTTTACTTAAAAATAAAATATTTTAATATTAATTCTTTATAATTTAAAAGATTAAAAGAAATGTAAAAATCTTTATGAAATGCCATTTTTAATTGGCACGAAATATTACATATAAAATTATAGTTAGCTAAATTTTTATTTAAAATTTTAATAAGTTCTTGGAAATTAATGTTTCGATTTATAGTTTAAAAAAATAGAAATATTTTCTTGAGAATAATTGATAATTTAAACTTTCCAATAATTTTCGACAAAAAAATTTATTATTAAAAGTATTAAAAACACCAAAACTTAAAAAAGGTATAAACTATCTATTATATACGATGTTCATGCATGTTGTGGATGGGAGATGGAATTGAACTATCATGGAATGAACTCTTTAAAGTGATAGCCTGAAAGTCCTCTAACCCAGACCGAAGCACAACCGATTGTGCCACCATCCAACCCGATGCTTGGTTATTTATTTTAATTTATATTCTTCAAGTGCGGACACAACAATATCTCCTACATTCATTTCTAAAAAGAAAGTATGGGACCACCTGAAATTTTCACGTTTTTCACTAAATCAAGTCTAATCTCAGAAAATTTATTTGAGGTTTTCCTTGTTGAGACAAAGGTATGTTGGCAGAAAAACTTGATAATTGCAGGTGATTTTATACTTCCTTGACAGAATGAATTTTTGTGAAATTTTAAAATGAATATTTAGGACTGTAAAAGGGTTATTTTGTTTTTCTTCCTTTTAATTAAAAATTTTTAAAAGAGAGATTTTCTTAATTTATTTTATAAAATCAAAAAAACAATTTGTCTATTAAATTGTCTATTAAATTATTAAAAATGTAGACATATTTATGAATTTTATTTGTTTTTATGGTAATAACCTGTTTTGGCTATAAATAATTCTTACATTTAAAGTAAATGCCAATAAATATTTAATTGAATTTTTATTTAATTAAATATAAATGTTTTTAATAATAAATTTGTTTTTGAAAGAATTTTTTTATAATTTCTTAAAATACGATGGGTTTTTAACAAATAAATTAATGACGTAAATTGTGGGAATATTTAGATTTTTAAATTAACTTAGTATATAAATTTATTTTTCAATCAACTAACAGATTACACTCTGTCAGAAAATGATAAGCACCCCCAAGTTTTAAGTTAAAACATAATTAAATTTAAAATATCATAATTTTAAATATTTTTTTCGGAACAGAATCAATGACATAGAGATTTATTAAACAACGGTGAATTTTGTTTTTAGAAAATAAATTTATTAAAATTTCTAGCAGTTTTTAGTTAAGATTGTTTTTAACTTTTAACTGAGCCAATAGAAAAAATTTTGGTGAAAAAGCTTGGGCTGTAGAAAGATATTAATTACGATAACACCATAAATCAAAATCGATGATTCAGAAATTTTTAATTAATAAAAATTTATTACTTTATTTTATCAATCTATAATTTTAAATGTAAACTAAATCCGTAATACTAAATTAGTCTAGGAAGAAATCCATGTATGAATTATTAGTTTCTTATATAGAAAATTGATCTATAGAAGAATAGTTTAACCACTCGAGCAATTGATACCTGAATAGAAATCATTTAGCAATTTTGGCCTCTTTTAAATTAAATACCATTTTTCATAGATTTAAGTTTGTTTTTCACCAATTTGCCTGAAGCTGTCAATCGAGAATCATCCCCAACCTGTGATGGAGTTGTTCCGGGGGTGAGGGCTGCTGCTGCCTCAGCTTTATTATCTATTGCCCAATTGGCATAAGAAATCTTGTTTGAATCTAAGAAAGACCACCATTGGTTTGAAGAGGTAACATCTACACTGCCTCCACCACTGGCATCAACAGTGCCGTATTCTGTTACGAAAATGCAAACTCCCTTAAATTATAAGCAAAGTATGAAATGATTTTCTGAAATTTTTTGCCTTGTTTAAGGCTGTTTGGGCTTTGTCACGAAGAGATTGTTTGTGGGAAGCTGCGTAATAGTGAAGAGTGTAGCAAAGGTTAGATCCACTAACTGGATTTGCTGCAGCAATATCTACATCTTGAGACCATGTTGTTGTTCCGAGTACTATTAGATTCTTTTTGTCATATTTGCGTATGGCGGCAACGACTTTCTCATGATAGCTTTTAACAATACTCCAATCAATTTGTAAAGGTTCATTGAAAGTCTCGTAGATAATGTTTGGATTCGATCCGTATGTTTTAGCAATGTAAGTGAAGAAATTGATCTGTAAAACAATAAAGATTAATACTGGGCATTGTTTAGTCTAAGACAAACTCAGGTTATGTATGAAAGCATTTTTTAAGGAAAATAATCGTTATGTGGATTAAACGATGATCACAAAGATTAAATACAGATGTTGACTCAAAAATTATTTTTTAACATTACTTAGATTAAAACTTCTTGAATTGTTAAACAGATTAGTGGACCCTCAAAATTAACTTCCAACTCACCGCCTGATCAACATGATTCTGAGCATTATGGTCATGCCAGTCAACAATTACATAAATTCCTTGAGCTATAGCAGCTTTTATCACAGTCTCAACTTTAGCTTGTTCAGCACTTGGATTCGTTAAATAACCGCCATTTTCTACTCCCATAGCTGCTCTAACAACATTAGCATTCCAATTACACTTTAATGTTTGTACAGTATTTGCTGTATAGAAGACAGAGCCTTCACTCCATTGAGACCAAAAGAGGGACATTCCCGCCAACACTACAGGCTGATTATTAGATCCATAGACCTTATTACCTTAAATTAATTTTGAAATTTATTGTCACATTTATAGTCACTGATGACTTTCAGTAATTTTTTATTCCGAATTTAAAAATGTGTTAGGTTTCACTTTCGAATTTGCCACTCGTTTGTGTGACTAGTTTACTTAAAATTTTCAAAAAAGTTAACCTTTTACAGAAAGTTGTCCGAAAGGAGGAGAAGCACCATTCAAACCTTTAAAAAGAACCAAAAAGAGGATAGAAGTTAAAATATTCATTTTAATTATTTTTAATAATTATTGTAATTACTACCCATATTTTTGAATCTATTTATATTCCAATAAATTCATTAAATTTGCCCTTTATTATTTACTTTTAGTTTTTTTGTTTTTTAATATCTCAACTAAACAATGAATTATTTGAATTTTTTAAATAGAAATTTTAAATGTACTTTTCTAATTAGAAAATAATTTTGAGCTAATGATTTTAATAAATTATTTAGAAAAATAAACATGTCTGAGAAAAAAATTACTTTAGTTTTAAAAATTTTTATTTTAGTTTTTAAAAATAAATTATTATAAACTTAAAAATCAAAAACTAAATAAATTAAGAATTACACTTTTTAGAAACGTTTTAGCTAACATAATTTTACAGAGAAACGATGATGTTATTAGCAGAACATTCGAATTCTTCATTTTCAACCCGCTCTCTAAGAATGATATCTTAATTAGAAGAGTTCGATAGGAAACATCTTCTAACAATAAGCTCTTTTATTGTGTTTTCTGTTCTCAACCACAATTAAATTTCATTATATTTTAGCTGCATCTTGGACAATTTGTTTATGCTATTATAATGATTTTTCAAAAGAAATCTCTTAAAAACTAAATATAATTTAAGAACGTTATAAAATTTCGCGATCTAAGCAAGAATTCTTAAAGATAACTTTAATATTCTCTTGGATGACATTAATATTCAATAATATTATCCAGTTTCTGATCAGCTTCTTTTAAAAGATTTCAATCTTTTTAATTTATTTTCCAGATATACACAACAGCGGATTTGTTGTCGAAGACGAAAGATATCGTTTTTCAATACTTGCTTATTTTAAAAATTCAGGAAATTATATCGAGGCAAATTTAAAATTTTCTATATATTTTTTAATTACTAGTTTTAATTTTTAAAAGTAGAGTATTAGAAATGATTTGTAGAATAAAAATATATGTATGTATACAGGGTGCGGCATAAGTAACCGGACACTTGTTTTCTCTCATAACTTTATTAAAACACAATCAAATAAAATCGAAAT